TTTTTAATGCCTGAGTTGATTTATTGCTGTGTTTGTATGATTTATCACTCAATGCTTTTTCTGTGGGCTTATAAAAGATTATTTAGATTGAAGACTCAGAGAAATAAACGTTCGGAACCTTACTATCATCCTTTTGTTATGGAGAGCGTTGAGAGAAGGAAGTCTTACAATCCTGTCCAGAGAAATACCACTCGGTACTTTTAAAGTTTCATTAGGTCTTTAGGGAAATCGCTAAGTAGCGAAACAACACTGTTGGCAGACATGTGAAATTCAGGCTTTTGCAACTCCAGTGATTAAATAAAAGTGTAATTATAATTTCAAATAGTTTGCGAATATGAAATACAGCAAGCACACTTGCGGCAAGTGTGCAGTGCAGTTAACAGACTCTGTCTTTCTATTCCATAGTTTTATGAGTACCACTGTACTAAATCTCTTGTCCTTTACGTTCATGCGAATGCAAATGTTTTCAGATTGAATTCATTAAGATTGATATTATGTATATTCTTCTGGGTAATTTTATTGCAGTACACAAGTGGAGGTTTAATAACACGTACAATGCTGAAATTTACTATTGTACTTAAAGGGAGTGACCGGCTATGTAAGGTAGTAAATAGGTAAATAGGTCACTCCCTTTAAGCCAGAACTTAATCCTATTTACAATTTTCTGAACATATAGCATTCATAATTTTGTCAAATTTTGAGTATTTTTCTTTAGATATATTTTGATTTAATTTATCAAGGTGTCGGATAAGAACAGGATTTTATCTTTATATTTATAATATTCACTATTATCTAGGTCTGTTCAATCAGAGGGAAGAAAGATGCAAATACATTAACGAAATGTTTTTGTATAAACTAGTGACATGGTTCCCAGAGAAGAAAATGTTCAAGTAAGCTTCCTAAATAACAACAAAAAAATGATTATTATTTAAGGGACCATTGGGGTAATTTCAAGGAACCCTCCTTCACAGATTCATAACTGCACCCTTTTAACCGTTATCTGATCAATAATGTGGAAGATATCGTCTTTTTTTCTAGTTTGAAATGCCCAAGTCATATTTGTAGAAAACCCACAATTAAAGATGATGAATTTTAATGGAGAATAGTGTTGATATCTCACTCATTCTTGATCAAACATATCTTTTAAGGATACCGTTTTATATCGGACACTATAAATGATTTGAATAATGACTACAGTCCTTGGAACTTGAATTATTTTTAGAGGTTTCAAGTCCAACATAGAGAAGGTCGAAGAGAGTTTATTAAAGCATAGAGTTAACGTCTACAAAGAGATGTACGCTGGAAGAGAGATTCCTGTAAACAACAATACGGATGAAAACATGGATGTAGAAGAAGAAGAAGAAGAGGAGGAAGAAGACCCCATTGCTCTGCAGAGAGAGCGTGTTGAGATGGTTCGAATATCTGGGTCTGGGTTAAGTACGGATGAGGCTCCAGTGATAACACGTTTTTTTAATGACCAGGAATATATGTGTATGATAAACCAGTTCCCTGAGAACTGTCCTATAGTGTTTGATCTACTTTACGGAGATATTTCAACCTATTCTATAGACTCCAAGATCAAGTTCCTCTACACAATTCTCTACCAGATGCAGGAGAACAGCAGTGAGAGGTTGGATCAGATGATCAGGAACCTGGAGGAGAAAATGCAGATGAAGGAAGAGCTTGAAGCTGTCAACAGAGCAGAGTGTATTTCCGGGATGAAGGTGGTCGGTATCACCATCACGGGAGCATCCATTAACAATGCAATGCTGAAGATATTAAAACCCGAGATAGTTCTAGTGGAGGAAGCAGCGGAGATATTAGAACCTCAGCTCCTGGTTGCGCTCAGCTACCAAACCAAACATCTGATCATGATCGGAGATCATGAACAGCTCCCACCTCAGGTAAACACTTACGAGCTGAAGATGATGAACTTTGATGTGTCGATGATGCAAAGGCTGGTGGACAATAAGCTCCCCTTCGTCCAGTTACAGATGCAGAACAGGATGAGGCCAGATATAGCGGAGCTCTTACTGGACATTTATCCAACTTTAAAGAGTAATATTTCACGAGTTGGTTCAATAGAACTCCCTAAAATTCTAAAATACTCAACTATATTCTGGGCACATAATAGCCTTGAGGATGGTGAGATTGATAAGAACATTGATCAGATGAAGAATATTGGTCGAAGTAAGACGAATAAAGTTGAAGCGTCAATGGCTGTAGGACTTGCTAGTGTATTGATCACCTACGGACATAGGCCAAGTGATATCACAATTCTAACCATGTATAAAGGACAAGTAAACGAGTTACGTAGTGTCATGAAGAATAATAAGAAACTGACTAGAGATGAAGAAAAGTTACGTAGTGTCATGAAGAATAATAAGAAACTGACTAGAGATGAAGAAACCGTGAATATCTCAACTGTTGATAATTTCCAGGGAGATGAAAACAAGATTGTGATTGTATCTTTAGTCCGGAGTAATCCAGCAGGTGAAGTGGGATTTTTAAATAAACTAAATCGTCGTTGTGTGGCTCAATCTAGAGCAAAATCCTGCGTTGTATTCATCGGAAACCCTGAAACTGTGAGAAGAGCGAGATGTTGGGATATACTTCTCAATAAGGTTCAATTTAACGGACATTCTCTTGAAATATCCTGCCCTAACCATTCCACCAGCTCCACACGGAAACTAACTACAGGGAAAGATGCGGACAGATACGTGGATAATCCGTCCCTGCTCTGCTCCATCCCTTGTGGATTATTATTCTCCTGTGGACAGCATACCTGTAAAGCTACCTGTCAACCTGAGCACGAGCATAACAAGTGCATCACCGAGGTTTCCTTCAGCTTCTCTAGATGCGGTCATGTTGGGACTAAACCTTGTTGGAATGATGTATCTAAAGAGCTCTGTATGACTGTGATTGATTTCAACTTTCCAGACTGTGGACATCCAGAGAAGAGGTAAATGAAAGATAAAAACAATTATCATGCTTTTTTAATAACATTATATTTTTTTCAAATACAAATTATTATTATGTCAAAAGGAAGAAATAAAGTAATGCTTAAATCCAAAAATATTTTAGTTACAATCCTGCCTACCTAGCAAGCATTGATCGATATTGATCCTTTTCAATGACAACTGTTGTTTTGGAGTATATATTACCATTTAACCCTATTACAAGAAAAAACTGAAAATTTAATCATCATTTCTCTTAATTAATTGTTTTAGAGCTTGTCATATTGGCTTGGAGGGAGAAAGAGTAATGAAATGCAATATTAGCTGTATACAAAGAATGGACTGTGGCAAGCACAAGTGCAGTAAAACGTGCGGAGAGCATCACACCCATGCCAATTGTCGTGCACAGGTTGATGTTGAGATGCCTTGCAAACATTTGATGAAGAAATCATGCTTCCAAGACATGCTGGAGCTCACATGCACTCAGAAGGTTCTCAAGACATTCCCGGAGTGCAAGCATTCGAAGAAGCTTGAATGCTTTAAGAGGATCGAAGATTTGAAATGCATGGAAGAAGTTAAAGTCACCCGGCAAGGTTGCGGACACAAAACTGTTAAACCTTGCTGTGAGGATCTCTCCTCAACTCCTTGTGAAAAGGAGTGCAAGAAGCGTCTCTCTTGCAAGCATGCTTGTTTAAGGAAATGCGGAGAAGACTGTTCAGACTGTAAAACCTGCGTCGAAAACCAGAGAAAAGAAATTGAGAGAAAAATCGATGAGATAGAGAATGAAATGCGCCGAAGAAAGGACAGCGAAAGGGCATTCAGTTTGGAGGTCAAGGATCAATCTGAGTTTGATACTGTTAAAGGACAAGTGATAAACTACATTGTACCAGACCATCATTGGTTTCCCATTATAACTAAGATCGAGCGGGTAACAAACCCCAAACTTGAACTAGCGTTCTTTAAGGCTAAACTAGAACTACATGATCCACACCGACCTGAAGATCGTAAGTTTCACGGTACCGGAGATGATGGAGTGGAGAACATTTGTTTTGGAGACGGTTTCAGGCTTCCAGAAGCAAGCAGCAACAATATGTTTGGTCAAGGTGTTTATTTCTCCAGTATTTCTTCCAAATCTGCACGGGAACGTTACTTCTTCTGTGCAAGGTTCTTCTTGGAAAATCCTTGAAAGCTACCCGAGCCATGAATGAGCTGACGCCAGCTAAGATGAAGAAGGATGGATATGACTCCCTTTATGCCCCAGCAGGTGAACTTGTTAAGAATGACGAGTTTGTTGTTTACAATCCTCACCAAGCAATCCCAGCTTATATAATACACTTTGTGAAAGGGAATATCTCCAATATACAAACTAAGCTGCCTATGCCAGGGTTTAAGAAGACCACTAAGTATCCTAAGAGAACCATGGATATGAACAATCCTTACGATATCCACTACTCCCTGGCAGAGGGTATATTCTACCGATTACAGACCGGAAAGCAGATGAAGGTTGATAAGATTGATATCATAGAGAATCCTGTTCTAGAGGCCAAGTTCAGTGCTAAGCAAGCAGAGTTTAAGAGTAAAGGAATTCCATCTGATCCTAGTTTTGGATTTCACGGCACTGCTGAAGCAAATATTAATCCCATACTGAAGAACAACTTTAACCTAAGTAAAATTCAGCGTGCTGTCTATGGTTTCGGAATTTACTTCTCTGAACAGCCTGAAGTTAGTAAAGACTATAACCAGGGTAACAATTCATTTATCCTTTGCAAACTTCTTACTGGGAAGTCTGGAACTAATTGCAAGGTAATTCAATATTTTAACATTATTTATTTTCTTTAGGTGTCAGTTACGAATAATTTCTATGATTCAGGAGGTAAAGTTAGGAGCAGATGCCCAATGTTGGGCAATAGTGATCGGCCAAACTAAAGGAGTGAACGATCCTTCTAGCATGGATCAGATCCTACCATCCTATGTGATCCACTACCAGTAGAGTGGAGTATACGATCCTTCCAGCATGGATCATATCCTACCATCCTACGTGATCCACTACCAGTATAGTGGAGTATACAATCCCTCTAGCATGGATCAGATTCTACCATCCTACGTGATCCACCACCAGTAGAGTGGAGGATACGATCCCTCTAGCATGGATCAGATCCTACCATCCTACGTGATCCACTACCAGTAGAGTGGAGTATACGATCCCTCTAGAATGGATCAGATCCTACCATCCTACGTGATCCACTACCAGTAGAGTGGAGTATACAATCCCTCTAGCATTGATCAGATCCTACCATCCTACCAATAAAGATTTTAACTTAAAAACCTTGAAAATTTTTCAAAAAAATGTATTTTTTCTGTATCGTAATCAAGCTATATGCGCAATCAAGCTATATGCGTAATCAAGCTATATGCGCAATCAAGCTATATGCGCAATCAAGCTATATGCGCAATCAAGCTATATGCGCAATCAAGCTATATGCGCATTAGTTCTGGACTTTTTATTAAAATCGTAACTCAAGTTATCATTTAACAATAACATATATTGTCCAGCAAAGTTACCTTCAGGGGAAAGTAATATTTTTTTTACTTTTACACATTTATGATTTAAGTAAATATATATGTTAATAAAACTATGTATGCAAAACCTCAGAAAAATAACAATGTCCATATTTGCATGATTGAAGTTTTGCAATTTTGTAATTTTGTAATTTTGTAGTTTTGTAATTTTGTAATTTTGTAATTTTGTAATTTTGTACTTTTGTACTTTTGTACTTTTGATCGCAAGAATCTTGATTTACAGTACAATGTTTAGATTTATTTTTAAAAGCTTTAAACTTTTCTCAATATTTGAAATCTATTTTTGGTGAAAAGATTTTGAGAAAATCGATTACAGAGGTAGGAAGACGGAGATTTTTTCTTCAAACCCATTGAGTTAAACATCTAAACCATGGAGTTAATCATCTAAACCATGGAGTTAAACATCTAAACCATGGAGTTAATCATCTAAACCATGGAGNGATTTATAGTTATAACGGAAAATCATCGTTTGTAAAGTGGAAGGCATAGAGTCTATGTGAAATGATCATTGGTCAATTATGAAACCAGCCTATTTCATAATTTGGTTTTCTTTTAACAATAATTTTCGATTTTCTATAAAATGATATTCCAGGGCCCAAAAGGTTACATACAGGGTGTCCCACGAAACATGACACTAGCAAGACGAATTGAAAGTCGTCTTTCAACTTTTAAGTTATTGGTGACGTTCAGTCTTCAACTTTCTTTTTACATGCATGATTCCTGAAACAATAACCCCAAAAATCGCCTAGTCCTGTCGTTTCCAAAATGTGGTCTGCATTTTTTGTGCATTCAATATTACCGGAGATATTAAGAATTTCGTTCAGATTTAATTTTTATAAAATAAAACCAAAACTGTCCAAATCTGAAGGAAATTCATCATATCTCCGGAAATATTGAAAGCACAAAAAATGCAGACCACAATTTGGAAATGCCAAGACAAGGGGTATTTTGTGATTATTAATTCTAGAATTTTCCTCCTAAAAAAAGTTTTCGAAAAAATGCCGCAAATCATTTCAAAGTTCTAAGACGACCTTCAAAATCATCTAGATATTGTCATGTTTCGTAGGACACCCTGTAGCATAAATATGTGAAGTACACCTGCAGTATGGAAACAGTACAACAAAATGGCCGTTTCACACTTTTCTAGTAAATTCCCCTCTAATATATATTCTCTTCTCTATCTTTATAATCCAAACCTTGGAATTCATCCCCAGAACTTTGGATTTCATTAGTTAAACCTTAGAGATTATCCAGTAAGTCATAGTTACTGATTTAAATTATGGAGTTCATCCCTGAACCACTCTAGTTTATCATCTAACCCATGGAGTTTAAATTTCAGCCTTGAAGTTGATTTGTAAACATATATATATATTTGTTTGTTTCTTGGACAGTTTTCTCTTTATTTTATTTTACCCTATATTTGTACACCTTTATTTATTCTGAATTTGTTTATTGTTTCCGGTTTACAACATGACTATTTTGATTAATAATTAATAATGTGTTCTCCATTTTACAGATATATATTAGCCATCTGATAATGTTGTAGTATTGCAACTAAATGTATTATGGCGAAAATGACAGTTGTTTAAAACCTAGAGTGATAAGTTGGGTTAGAGAGAGTATAATCATGAAATCATTATCCATGGATTTGTCATTTAAACCTTAACCATGGATTACACATGTGATCCAGTACTTTTTATGAAATTTTCAAACGCAAAATATTATTTACAAAGAAATTATATAAACAAACATCAATTGTGGTCATCATGGCTGAAAGAGAAGAACACTTCTTGTTTGTTCCGCGCGAACATAGTGAGTTAGGGTCAACATTATTTCAAAACTGTTAAGAAAGTTTCTTGTAATCTAAAATAGAATTAACACCGTATTTTGGTATAGAATTAACACCGTATTTTGGATAGAATTAACACCGTATTTTGGTATAGAGTTAACACCGTATTTTGGTTTAGAATTAACACCGTATTTTGGTTTAGAATTAACACTTTACTTTGGATAGAATTAAGACTGTATTTTGGTTTAGAATTAACATCGTATTTTGGTTTAGAATTAACACCGTACTTTGGATAGAATTAACACTGTATTTTGGTGCAGAATTAACACCCTATTTTGGTGCAGAATTGACACCGTATTTTTCTTTAGAATTAACACCATATTTTGGTTTAGAATTAACACCGTATTTTGGTTTAGAATTAACACCGTATTTTGGTACAGAATTAACACCGTAATTTGGTTTAGAAGTAACACCGTATTTTGGTATAGAATTAACACCATATTTTGGTTTAGAATTAACGCCGTAATTTGGTACAGAATTAACACCGTATTTTAGTATAGAATTAACGCCATATTTTGGTTAAGAATTAACATCGTATTTTGGTTTAGAATTATCACCGTATTTTGGTTTAGAATTAACACCGTTTTTTGGTTTAGAATAACACCGTATTTTGGTTTAGAATTAACACCGTATTTTGGTTTAGAATTAACACCATATTTTGGTTAAGAATTAACATCGTATTTTGGTTTAGAATTATCACCGTATTTTGGTTTAGAATTAACACCGTATTTTGGTTTAGAATTAACACCATATTTTGGTTTAGAATTAACACCATATTTTGGTTTAGAATTAACACCATATTTTGGTTTAGAATTAAAACCATATTTTAGTTTAGAATTAACACCGTATTTTGGTTTAGAATTAACACCGTATTTTGGTTTAGAATTAACACCGTATTTTGTTTTAGAATTAACACCATATTTTGGTTTAGAATTAACACCTTATTTTGGTTTAGAATTAACACCATATTTTAGTTTAGAATAAAATTTGTACGCCACTTTTCTCCATGTTTAGTCCCAGTTCAACCCTCAGATTTATCTCTTTGTTTTCATTTGCCCATTGGCTTTAGCTACTTCCTCTTGGTTGGGTAAACTTCTAAAATTCGATAAATTAAAAATGCATCATTTGATGATTTTATTTTTATTTTGTAAATATACAGTTAGAACCAGAGAAATATGGAATTGGAAGACGACTTTTAGATTCAAATTATGACTTTAAATAACCCAAAAACATAAGACACAGTGATTGTGAAATTTTAGCATGTCCATTTCCCTTTAAAAGGGATTTAATAAATTAGTGTAAAACTATTTTCTTTGTAACAACATCAATTGCGCTTAACTTTGATGTCGTCTTCCTATTCCACAGTTTTCTGATTATGAATGTAATCTTTACAATTCAACTCTTCGCCCATCTAGATATATTTTTAAATTTGTATGTATATATTTTTTTTGAAGGAACTTTGCTCTGGGTAACTTAAAGCCATCCCCCCTGCACTTTTTTTCTGTATAGGCCCTTCCTGGAATTAAAGTCCTGTGTTTTGGATTCATGAGACTTTTTTGTTGTTACATTTGAAGACACTACAGCTGGTTAAAGCCCATTCATGTGATCAATTATTACTAGTTTTCCTGACAAAAATACTACGATATCTAAAAGCATGGATATAACCATTATTTTTAACTACCAATTTGTGGAATTAATATTTGTAAAAATTTCGGAAAATAAAAAGAATCTAGAATTGTGGCCATTTTCGGGAAGTAGTATTGTCTAACACCAAAATTCATTCAAAAGTTCTTAAAATTCCAAAAAATATTCTAAACTCACTCTCTGAAGCTGTAAGTTTTATGAAAAATCCTAAAATCACATACTAAAAAAGTCCTGTGGAAAAAAGTCCTTTTATATAAAAAGTCTCTGGAAATAAAGTCCTACCAATTCAAGAATTTATGTTCTAGGAATTTTTTTCTGGCTCCAGTATGATTTAAAAAAAAAAGTCCAATAACAAGTGAAAATGCATGAATCACAATGGAAAAAATTCCTAGTTGTAAACATCCTTACAATGATCGTAGGATTTCAGGGGCTTGTTATTAAAACACCCCTAGCAATATATATTCAATATGCAGATAAACGGATAATAAATATATTTGTTACATATGTATATATTTATCACACATTTAGTTAGCATTTGTTTTTGTATTTTATTTCAGAATATGAAACTGCCCAGTATATGATGTACATAGTACATTTGTACGCGGAATTATATACACAACCTTTTTTAGGACTTTTTTTCTGCAGACAATTAAATCACTGAGTTCAAATTTCCCGAGACTTAGGACTTTTTTAGGTTTTACTTTTCCTCGGATTTATTTTCTTCCAGACTTTTATTCCTGTAATTGTTTTCCTGAGACTTAATTGACAGCCCTCCATACCATAGAGAATAGAATATATGTTAGAGTGGAATTATAAGAATCTCTCGGTATGAATTTTTTCAGTCCCTTTCAGCCTGAAAGGGAGTTCAAAGTGTACAAATCATGTAAATGTTCACAAAGTATATGCAGTAGAGTACATTAATACAGTATGTACCCTAGACTATTCATTTCAATTTCGAGTTTTTTAAAGCTGTTAAATAAACTTTGAAATGAATTAGGTGAATAAAAAACATTATTTGATTTATAGTTATAACGGAAAATCATCGTTTGTAAAGTGGAAGGCATAGAGTCTATGTGAAATGAGCATTGGTCAATTATGAAACCAGCCTATTTCATAATTTGGTTTTCTTTTAACAATAATTTTAGATTTTATATAAAATGATATTCCAGGGCCCAAAAGGTTATATAGCATAAATATGTGAAGTACACCTGCAGTATAGAGACAGTACAACAAAATGGCCGTTTTACACTTTTTCTAGTAAATTCCCCTCTAATATATATTCTATTGTCTATGCCTCCATACTGTTTTAGGAAAAAAAGTCTCAGGAATCTAAAACGCAGGACTTTTTTTCCAGTGACATTTTTTCCAAGGATTAAAGAAAATTGGGACTTTTTTTCCATTCTACATCGGGGACATTTTCACCGATGTCTACATTCTACATCGGTGGGAAAGAATTCGATTTAGTATATACTACATGAAACCGACATCGAAGTGTTTAGATGTGGGAGATCATATCTTCGCTGTAGTATGTACAAAAGATCACTTCAAGGTTGGATTCACAATGGGGCTCCTTGGTTGGATTCAAATCAGGCTCCTTGGTTGGATTCT